AACACAAACAAATGACACACGCGCACTGCAAGCCTGTTTTTCTTCCTTGGTCTCACAAGCATGACTCTCTGGCTAAAGGTGCTGATGCTCAATTCCAATCGCGAATTGCGAGCGAGCAGCCTGCTTGGCTCAATTCCGCTCTGCGTCCTAGGCCACTCTCCTTCGTCCTGACCTGACACGACTTCCTAAGCCTCTCTCCGGACTAAGCCTCTCTCCGGAACTTCGTCCTGAGACTCCTGCGACGGCATGCAGGGAAACCTGAGCTGGCACCATCTCTCCAACCCTGCGCCAGCTGCGGGCAACTCTGCTGACCGCCAAGTAGTGGTCGCGAAGCCATGGCTGCGAAACTCCGCCAAGTCCACGAGGTAGACGTAGCCGTACGCCTTGCTGATGTGCCAGCCTGGGCTCAGCCTCTCGGGGTCAAACCTGCAAATCTCATCCTGCAGGCGATCGCGGAGGCTGCGCCCGATGCCAACTGAGCGGCCAAGGCTGGCAGGAGTCTACTCCTGGCTCTGCCTTGTCACAAGTCTGCGAGCCAAGATCAATCCACTCACTACAGTCCGTGCTGCGACTGCGCGCCGAGTCAGACCCTTCGCTGACAGGCATCACTACCCAAGCAAAGCTGAAGCACAGTCCATAGCTGAGCCAGGCAGTCGAACATGCCAAGCCTACTGCACCAAAGCAAGACAAACAAATGACACACGCGCACAGCATGACTCTCTGGCTAAAGGTGCTGATGCTCAATTCCAATCTCGCGAACTGCGAGCGAGCAGCCTGCTTGGCTCAATCCCTCTCCGCAGCACTTTATGCCACGTAGACAAAGACAAAGACGAGGAGCCGCTGTGCTTCTACCAGAAGTTTGCAGTGTGGCGAAGCCCGGGCTAAAAGCACTCTTGCGCATCTAGCACGCCTCGAGCCTCCCGCGCAGCAGAGCTACAAAAAGGCGCTGTGCACAGACAATAGCAACGTCACGCTATTCGCGGGTCTGAATCTTGGACGAGCGGATTCGTTTGGACGGGGAGCGCTGCTAGCCGAGTTTCTGTTGAGTAGGTCAGCCACAAAGCAAAGCCGAGCACCGATGCCTAGCAGTGTTTTTCTTTGCAGGCCAGCCACAACCACCCATCCCACGCCAATCGCGTTCTCGTTCACATGATTCAGACCCGCGAATAGTGTGGCGTTACTTTTCTGCTTTGCAGGCAAGCGAGAGAGCGGCGGATCATATTGTATGTGTGACTTGCCTGCAGCATTGTTGTGTCGTAGCAAGGCGTGCGACGCCATTCCGCGGGATGGGGCGCCGTAGCCAAAGGCCGAAAATGGACGACCCAACACAGTATATCTTCGTGGAGATATCGCCTTGTATAGTGTCTGAGTATTGCAGCAAGGTGCGCGAGCGACTGGGCTTGTCGCCCGAGTGGCTCACGCAGCTTAGCAGCTGCCTGAGCTGTGGCAAGATGCGAGGCCTCTACAGAGGGCCCGAGGATGAGACGGAGTTTCGACGACTGGGCATGTGCGACGCATGCAGACACATTTTGGAAGACCCATCGATTAGCATGTATGTGAGCACAAGCCTGACATACTCTGGACTACAGATGGCCGAGCGGCTGGTTATTTTGAGCCAGGTGCGAGGCGCGACGCACGGCAACGCTGCCCAGCTGGCCGACATGGTGCGCGTGTCGACAGGAGAGCGTGAGTTGCTGGAGCCTTTCGTTGGACACAGGCCAGACCCCAGCCGTTGGCAGTGATGGCTTCCTGATTTAGCGGAGTACGAAGCGTGCAGAGTTTGAAGCGTGGAAAAGAGTCAGAGAGCCTTGCGTCAGGCGAATGCGAATCAGGGGCAGGCCTATTGAGAGTGACATGGCGCATGTAAAATCTTTTTGTTCGTTCGTGGCTAGGATTTTTGTGGCTCAAAGCATCGGATATGCTGAGTACGGCTCCAATGTGGTGAAGATGTCGGCCTTGGCGCGAGTTTGATTCATGCCTCCAAAGGCAACAGGCATATGTCTATCTTGAAGAAGCTTCTCTGCACCTGGGCTGGCATCGCCGACTCGTACTACGAGATGAAATGCCGTGATGAGCTCTTGCGCAAGCGCGTTGGGCTGAGCGTGGTCCCTGCGCGTGACGCTGCGCGTGTCGACCAAGAGGGCAAGTTTACCCCTTTACATCAGGCCCGATGCGCCTGGCGAGTGAAAGAGTCCAGCTCCACCATCAGGTCCATGGAGAAAGCCTGGTTTGAGAAGGACGGCATGCCTTTGTTCACCCCGCTCGGCATCGGCAGTGGCTTGCATTTCTGGGGATCCATGGAGCGCAAAAAGGAGATTTTCAACGACCTGATGGAGCGAGTGGCCCGAGACTGCGAGCCCGCGTCCGCGGAGCTTTACATCCTCGTGCGCGCGGGGTGGAACTTGGCATTGGTGCCAGGCCCGTGTGTGGATGCTGGCGCGGCTGACAGGAAGATGGCCAGCAGGCGGAGCAGCAGCTATTGACGTTGCTGCAGACAGAGGCAGTGACATTTCGGGATGTGCTGCAGATGTGTCATCTCTGTTCGGATATGCCGCTGACTGCCAACCTATGGTCGCAGCTCGCGTGCTGCTCCTCTCCGCTTTGGTGGCTTTCGAGGCGCGTGATCGGAGATCTTCTGCCCTGGATTCTACCGGGAGTTCGCAGGCGAGGAAGAGCAGTGGCAGTTCCTGCAGTGGAGGCTTCCCATCTCCAGCCTCAGAGCAGCACGCAAGGAGCCGCTGCGCTGTGGCGATACATGGAGTTGTACCGCAGCGGGGGAGTTTACGTGTCTGGCAGCCAGAGCCTTGGAGTAGAGCTGGGTCTTTGGCTCCGGGACAAGCAGCACGAGCTCGGGATTCAGATGCAATGGGCCTGCTGGGAGCGAGCAATAGGAGAGAAATTCGAGGACTGGGGTGCTGCCGCAGGCGGCGTGTGTAATCCGCCCTTTTTGGTGGTTACCGTGCCCTCGTCAACGGATCCCGCCCGCTTCCAGGCAGAGGGGCTGATAGTGTGTGCCCCGCGCCACCCATTGATGGCCGAGCTGGCACACCACGTGATCCACCCGGCGACGTCAGGAGCTGGCATCGGGCGCAGCCTCCGCAATCGCCTGCAGGATGAGATTTGCAGGTTTGACCCCGAGAGGCTGAGCCCAGGCTGGCACATCAGCAAGGCGTACGGCTACGTCTACCTCGTGGACTTGGCGGAGTTTCGCAGCCATGGCTTCGCGACCACTACTTGGCGGTCAGCAGAGTTGCCCGCAGCTGGCGCAGGGTTGGAGAGATGGTGCCAGCTCAGGTTTCCCTGCATGTCGTCGCAGGAGTCTCAGGGCGAAGTCCGGAGAGAGGCTTAGTCCGGAGAGAGGCTTAGCAAGTCGTGTCAGGACGAAGTCCGGAGAGTGGCCTAGGACGCAGAGCGTGTCGAAATCCTTCCGCGGAGAAAGCCGGGCGGGCTCGCGGGGCGAGTGCGTGATGTCATGGGGCGCGCGGCGCTGGCCGACGCTTCGGAGGCGGAGATGGACGCGCGGCCAGTGGCGCGGCCACTCGCGGCCGCGCTCAGCGGAGGAGCCGAGCCGGACACCCGCTCAGCGGAGCCACCGCGGGCTGAGGTGGCCGCAGCGCACGCCGGCATGCAGGTCGATGGCAGCTCGCGCTGCGCGAGCGACAATGAGCAGGGGCGCGCGGCTATGGATGTTGTGAGTCAGCTACGTGACCGCGTGCTTCTCAAGCGGCCGGCTGGGAAGGCGGCGTCGAAGGCGGCGGCGAAGCCAAAGGCGGCCCCAAAGTCGAAGGCGGCGGCTCGGCCGCGGCCGAAGGCGGCGGTGAAGCCGAAAGCCAAGCCGCGCCCCGCCGCCCCTGCAAGAAAGAAGTGGCAAAAGACGCCGCCCCTTGCGCTGCGGCAGCAATTCGCGGGCGGCTGCACAAGTTGCCGCTGGGCCGCGAACTGCACGCCCTCCTGTTGGCGGAAGCGGGGCTACTAGTTGCGCGGCAGCGGGCCGCGCAGGCGCAAGCGGAGACACGTCGCTGCCAGCTGCGGGCGGCCGTGCGTGGCTATATATATATATATATCGGGCGCGCCTCGGTAGGTATAGAAGCACAGCGCCGCAGCATAGCGCGTGCGACGTAGGTTCCTTGTGCATAGCTCGCGCGGCAATTTTGCGGGCACGCGTCTATGCGAGCCCGGCCGCGCATCGCTGGGGCCGTTTGAGCCGGCGAGCGGTGCGTGCGCAACTGCAGGACACACGCGGGAAAAGAGTAGCGCGAAATAGAGTCTAGACTGGCGTCGGCAGCTTCTTGTTCATTCATGCTTGCCTGCAGCAAGCCTGGCACACACAGACCGATGCATGCAGCTCATGTGTGGTTTCGCGCTGCTGTTTCGGCTCTATGGCTCTGCGCGCTGTCACGCGACCCAGCCCACACAGTGCCGCGCGGCAGGCGGCTCGGCCGCCGCCGAGGCGGCGGCGCATGCGTGGGGGAGGATCGGCAGAAGCTCGATCACGCACATCGAGCTGGTCGTCCGGCATTAGGATCTTATACGTGTATATATATAGGTCGAAGGCGGTCTGCACATAGGGGGCAGGCTGCAGCAAAAGAGACGCCCCATTGAGGTATAGCGGCGCCTGCAGCCCTTGCTTCGAGCCAGCGGCAAAAGCCGCGGCAGAGGGAGGATCGACCGTCTGAAGCGCCGCGCAAACTGGAGGCAGCGCGCTTGACCGCATGCGTGCTGTTGCGCATAGATATATACACACGCAGCTATATATATATACATATGCGCACACATATATTATAATCATGCACACACGTTCCCTGAAACACCGCACCTTTTTTCTTACTGATTAAAGGTTTCATTTTGAATATATATATATATATATGTGCAAAAATGCAAACTTATATTTGTCACGGACGCCTGGAGTTGCTTCGCAGGTGTGCGCGTGTGTGCGTGCGTGTGCGCATTGCGTGTGAGGATTGCTTGTCCGCCGCTGCCGTTTTAGTGGCTCAATGGAGGCAATGGAGGAAGCCCCGGCGGTGTCCCTGGTGATCCACGGGCGCAATGCGGATGAGGGCGACTTGACCGTTCTGGTCACCCGCGAAGGCCGCGTCTGCCTGCGAAGCGACCTCCGACGGGTGGAAGTCCCGGACGGGCCGCAGGTGGTGGCGCGCGCCTGGGAGGCCGTGCCTGCGGCAGCGCCTGCGGCGGTGGCCGCGCCTGCGGCTGCGCCTGGGCGGTGGCCGCGAGCCTGCGGCGGTGGGCAGCGCCTGCGGCGGTGGCCGCGCCTGCGGCTGCGGCAGTGGCCGCGGCGGCAACCGCGGCCACGCCCGCGACAGTGGCCGCTCCGGCGGCGGCGGTAGCGCCTGCGGCGGTAGCCGGGCCGCCCGCGGCGGTAGCCGGGGTGGCGCCGGCGCTGATCGCGGTGAAGGTCGAGCCTGCAGGAAGCGGCAGGGCCAGCCGCGCCTGCAGGCGAGGCTGCTCCGCCAGCGGTGGAGCCTGCGGCCGCCCTGGGCGCGGCAACGAGCTCGTCAGATGAGACGACGTCGCCAGCTGACGCAGTGCTAGCGGCATCTGCAGCAGCCAATGCGGCCGCGGGACCTGCAGCCCCCGCTGCCAGAGCCCGAAGTGCCGGGGCAGGAGTCTTCGGATGAGATGGTGGAGGTAAAGCTCGAGGACGAGGAGGAGACCCCTTGGCCAGGGGACCTGCGGAGGCCGCATAGCCCGAGCGCCTCGCCGCGTCGTCGTCGTCGGTACGACGCGGCAAGCCGCAGCAGAAGCTCGCGGAGCCCGCAGAGCCCGCGGAGCCCGCGGATCTTCGCGGGCGCGTGCCCAAAGATGCGGCCGAAAATGCCGCCGCCGCGGAGGCCGCCTCCGATCGGCGCGCGGCCCCGCACCCCGTCGGAGGAGTCCGCTGGCTCGGAAGCCTCGGCGCGCTCTGCGTGCGGACGAAGCCGTAGCGGAGGCGGAGACAGCGCGCCGGCAAGGCGCGAGCCCTCGGCTCCCCCGTCTCGTGGAAAGCATTAGTTATGTTTTGGGTTATTTGTTTCTTGCAAGTGTTCTTGTTTTCTTTTTGTTTGTGACCAAACAATTTTTGTTTTTTCTCCAGCAACTCAGGCTCTCAAAGCGGGCGCTGCAGCGTGAGCAGGGCATCTTCCGAAGGCGCGCGGGGAAAGCGCGCCCGAAGGGCGGCCGGAAAGGGGACGGCCGCTGACTGCGCCTCAGGGCGCGTCAGCTTTGCGGCGCTTGCCGCATTTGAGCGCCTCGTGGTGGCGCCTCATTGCGGCTCGCGGCCGCTCGGCGCACCTCGGGGTGCGGCATTTTGCCGCAGCGGCTTGGCGCCTTGTTGCGGCGCCCTTGGCGGCATTTTGCGCGCACAAGGCCGCGTGGCCGCGCGCGGCATGTTTCCGCGCATCTTGCCGCGCATCGCGGCGTTTTGCAGCCGCCCATTGCGGCACGTTGCCGCCCGTCGCGGCACGCTGCCGCCCTTCGCGGCGTGTTGCCGTTAATCGCGGCACGCTGCCGCCCGCTGCGGCACGCTGCCGCCCGTCGCGGCACCCTGCCGCCCAGCGCGGCACCCTGCCGCCCAGCGCGGCACTCTGCCGCCCAGCGCGGCACGCTGCCGCCGAGCGCGGCACACGGCCGCCCAAGGCGGCACGCTGCCGCCCCTCGCGGCATGCCGCCGACGCGGCATTGTTTCGTGGCGCTGCGCTTTGCGGCACAATGCCGCAAGGCGCTGGCGCCTTTGCACTGACTGCGTGGTGAGATGAAAAGGCGCTGGGGCTGGGATGTTTTTTTTGCTTTGATTTTCAGATCTCGTATATTGCGTTGGAATGTTTCAAAAGACAAGCGCATTGCTACGCACACTCGCGCGCATGTGGCATGCCGCATAACTGTCCACTTTGGTTTGAGACCCCCGTAGGATCCAATTAACATGCTTATGCAACGCATTCATTCGTATCTGTTCTGGCGTGCATCAATTTTCATACCTGGGTGCCAGAATTAATTCGAGATCCTCAGACACATCAAGCGCAAGCAACATGTGGACTTTCCAAAATACGTATGCGCCAGAACATGTTGGGATCGTTTGCGTCTCTATTCCATGTCAGAAACTTAGTCTTCCTGATGATTACGTCTAATACTTCATGATGACATGCACTGTGTTGCCTGCTTGCCACTGACAGGATCTCACAAGTTTCGGTAGCTTTACTACACGTTGTTTGACTGGATGTGCAGAAATCAGCAAGCTTACATGTGTGTTGTGAGTTCATGACTTGAAGAGAGACCAACACAAGAAGCAACACACGAGCATGTGCTCGCACTTGTTGCTCACACATGATTTCAAAATCAAATGCAACTAGACCTGGTGGTGTGCAGTCAGCACACATATGACAGGCAAGCCGGTACGAATGGAAAGCAATCTTAATGAATCAAATACCTGAGATTTCTTTCGTGTCACGCATAAATAGAAATACTGGGAGGATACTAGACACGCCATGCTCCTTGGAGTTGAAACTGGAACTGATGTTTCCATATTTATTATAGCACTCCTCAGGATAGTTATCAAATCATTTGACTGATAATGATTTTGAGGATTCTAAATACAGAGTTACTCTACAAGAAAAAGAGTTGGGAATATACGCACATGCTTCTGCAGATTTGCACAGCCAAGTAATGGTATGAAATATGTGAAGTTTACAAACCATTGAATTGTTTTGGTATTACATCATTATCCAGTCAAATGGTACTAAATTACGTGAAAAAGGTTTTCGACTGTCAACGGAAGCCACATGTGTGCAATCAGAACATAGTTGAAACTCTGAAAATTTTCTGATACAATATGTATGTTTCAGATTCCACTGATGAGATAACTGAAGATAGTCAGATTCATACATATTCAGGTTTTCAGACGGTGTTCATACATATGTCTGCGTGATTCAGAATCTGAAAAAGTCTGAAAAATCTGAATTTTTTCAGATGTTCATCACTTCCTTTACTAAAATTTTCAGATTCAGATTTTTTCAGATTTTTTCAGATTTTTTCAGATTTTTTCAGATTTTTCAAATTTCTCAAATGTTGAGGAAGTTTGATCAGATTTGATTGCAATTCTGAGTACACGTGACCTCACTTGTAGGGAAGTCTTGATTTGTGAATATATTTATATACACATGTTTTGACATATCCATATGTATGTATGAGTGGTTGTGATCAGTGTTATTCTCATGTATGTAGTTTCATACTTGCATGATTGTCAACTGAGATTACTTCTTAACATATCAACACCATATTGTCTGCTTGCGGGTTCTTGTTTGCGAGTACAATGGAAATGATTGATGAACTATGTTTTGAGTGATTAATATTTTGAAAATGATTGGTAAACATGTTTGTTACGTATTTGCTCATACTGTGAGATTCGACACACATTCAATGCAGCGACCTTGAGTATGGCCGCAGCTCTCAGCTCCTTCATCAAACGACTCATGATTGATTTCATCCCAGTTTGTTGAACAAATTTCTCTGCGTTTCGCAGCGATTCATTTCGCGCGGACACTGGTAGATTCTTGCGCATGTCCACGCAGCGTGTTTCGACCACGGTGGTGAGATGTCGCAAATTGCGATGGGCTCGTTGCTGTTTGGAATGCGCCGTTGATGCAACTTTCATCTGGCATGTGGACAGTGAGTCTGGGTGAAATATGCGCGTGCTTGCGGGCGCATTTGCGACACAAGTCTTTGGCGGCTCTTGCCGCAGACAGCTTGCGCCAGCTCATCTGATAGCCGCGTGATGGCTGCGAGCGGGCCTACAACCTGCGTGGATGTCGTCGCTGGCCTTCCGTTCTTCTTGGACAAGATTCACCCGGTGTTGGCCAATCTCTCACACGCTTGTCACATGGCAGCGCGCGATTAATGCAATTTGTGAAAAAATGGGACCTGGCCGCAGATTTTCCGGAGCCGCCGGCCCTGGTGCGGAAGGCTGCAAAGGCGCGCGGCAAAGGGAAAGGCAAAGGCCGCGCTCCTTAGCCTTTGCCGCGGCAGACATTTTGGGCGACATGTCCCGTGAGGCAGCTATTGAGCAAAACTGCAGGTGCTGGGCATGGGCGCAACTGAGACATGTCATGCCAACCCAATCGCAACGCACACTGTCAAAGGACTTCTACAAGCGTGCTGCGGATGAGCTGTCCTTCCAGGCGCCAGTACCTCCGACGCGATGGAGGCGCTGGTCGCCGCAAAGCCCTTCGCGGAAAGCCGCCGCCCGAGCGCGCTGGAATGGCTCCACACGTTTGTCAAGCAGACTAGCCACGAGGTGGTCGTGGCTGCGGAGCGGCCAATGGCTTAGTATGCAGCGCCTGGAGCGCGGCGTCCGCGCGCGCGCTTGCCAGAAGACCACACACTGGTCGAGCGCCTGAGCAACGTCGAAGATTCGGCGCCTCATTGTCGACCAGGAGCGCTGCTTGAGTCGCGGCGAGCAAGAGTCGCACGATTCCGGACTGACGCAGCTGCTGGATAAGTCGAGGAAGCTGAAGCGGCGCGTCTTGCACCCCATATACTCCTTGGTGCGTACGCGCAGCGCGCAAGCAAATGCATTTTGGACCGCTGCGATGCGCAAAAAGGGCCAGCTGCGTGACGCATGTCTGTCGCTGCACGATCGACAGCTTTGAAGCGCTTCACGGCTTGCGCTTTGTAAGAACAGAAGCAAGTTACCATGTGTCGCTTCGATAGCTTTGGCTCTCAGCTGTTTCCGCCCGTTGTCACCGATGGCGCCAAAGAAGTCAGCGGCCGCAAAGGCCAAGACGCAGCCTGCGGACGTGAAAAAAGAGCAAAAAGCGAGGCGTGTGGCGAAGTCAAAGGCAGCAGCGCCAGATGCCCCAAGGTGACTGAGGAGCTGTACAAGCGCGCGCACAACGCTTTGTCACACCAGATCCGGAAGGCGCGCCGACCAGGCCTCGAGACGCTGCGGGCACTGTGTGAGCCAGGGCGTCGCGACGCCGTCCTGAAGTCCTTTGCGGCCGGCACGGTTTAGGGTTTAGGGTTTAGGGTTTAGGGTTTAGGGTTTAGGGTTTAGGGTTTAGGGTTTAGGGTTTAGGGTTTAGGGTTCAAAGATTTCAAGACGTAGATGTTTTAAAGCAAAGCTCA